ATGCAAAAGGGTTCATCTTTGTTGTCTGCACCTCCCATGTACCTCTCTCTGTCTTCCTCTTCCTCAATGCCACCATGTTGATCATTCACATTTGGTACATTGCCCTTCTCTTCACCCAAATCAATACTCATCTCTGCCTATCTAACAGTGTTCCCTCCCCTCCCCTCCAACCCCTGGTAACCAACAAAGAAAATTTCCTTCCATAGATAAACTTTTCATTGATTTTTACAATAACAGACTAATACAGTATTTGTCCTTATGTGATTGAGTTATTTCACTCAGCATAATGTCCTCCAATTGGCTGTAATCTTTATGGAAGCAAGTCTCCAGGTCTTTCTCCCATGAAGCTGTTGGGTGGGTTTGAACAACCAACTTTTTGGTTACCAGCCAAGTGCTTAACTGTTTGCACTACCAGGGCTTCTCCTTGAGGGAGGAAAGTGGAAATTGGAGTCAGGGTGAGCATAAGAATGAGAAAAAGTGAACCCTCACATGGTCAAGTTCACATTTTATTCCATATTCTGCTATATCATTTGAATTTCTTTAAGTCAGTATGAATTATTTTAATTTGAAAAGCAAAAAGAACCTATTCTTCCATACCCTTAACAGTGGTACCCCTGGTCTGAGCTGCCCTCATCTTGCCTGGACCACTGCATGAATCTCCTAGCTGGTCTTTCTGATTACACTCTTACCCCATACACAGTGATTGCTAAAAACATGTTTATCAGGCCATCACTACCCGAGTCATCCAACACAATAGTCCTTTTCATGACCTATAAAGTCCTGCATATCAGGCCCCTGCTCATTCCACTCTCACAACCTACCTCTCCCCTCCCTGGCCATGATACTCTGGCAGCAAGAGTGCTCTTCTTCGGTAGCTCCAAAGAGCAAGGACCTTTGGCCATGCTGGTTCCTTTGCCTGAGATGGCCCACCCACCCCTGAACCTTGGCTCCATTTGTCATCCAAACCCCCAAAACCAAACCTGTTCCATCAAGTTGATTCCAACTCATAGTGACCAAACAACAATCTCATTTGCTCAAAAGACCCTCCCTGGGAGACCCCTTCTGAAGTAGCCACACCCAACTCCCAGTCTCCCTCTGCCCCATATCACCATGTTATTTTCCTCTAGCACTTAAAGCTATCTGAAATCTTTCTGGTTGTTTGTTTTTCTCTCTCCACTATGAGAACATGGAGTTTGTCTGTCTTGTTTGCTGTTGCAACCGTAGCACCTAGAACTGTGTCTGGTACCTATTAGGTGTTCAATAAATATTGGAACAATGAATAAATGAAGAACAGATTTAGGGTTGGTGGGAAGGCAAAGAGAAGTTCTTATATTTTGCTGGCTTTGATCTAAGACTTCCGTTTGTTGTAATATCCTACTTGGTAGCAAGGTCATAGAAAGGGGATCTATAGCCCCCAATAGCCTTGAACCTCTGTAGATCAGTTTCCAACAAAGTAGCAGTGATAAGCTACACTTACTGATGATGTTGCTTATTAAAATATGTCCAGTGCCTATTACATGTTATCAGCCACTGGACATGCATTCTCTCAGATCCCCTCAGTATTGCAAAATCAGTATTTTAATTATGATTTTACAGATGAGAGACCAAAGGTTAGAAATGATGAGTGACTTTTCCAAGGTGACAAACCTAACAAGTGACTGAGCTGTGATTTAAACCTAAATTTGTCTATCTTCAAAGCCAGTCTTCTTTCCACTGCCCTTTGCTGCGTAAAGCCTTTCCTACTGCTTTCTATTCACTGCCTCTTCCTTGATTCTCTGGCAATACAAGGCTTTCTCAGATGGAAGGAGGTACTTGAAAGAGAAAATGATGAGATGATCTTGCTGACTTCACAAATGCAACTAAAAAGAAGTAGCTATCGTCAAGGTTCATATAAAATAGTGCTTCTCAACCCTGAATGCACATTGCAATCCCTATGGGAGTTTGAAATTACTGATGCCTGAGTTCCACCCCAGAGATTCTGGATTAGTTGGAAGTGGATGTGGCCTGAGCATGAAGATTTTTTAAAGCTCCCAACTGACCTAAATGTGGAGCCAGGGCTCAGAACACTGCTCTAGTGTTGCACAGGGGCCAAGCATCCACACATTGATCCTGAACATTGTCTCCTGGGTAGCTGCTTGGTCACTGCCAAGAAGTGAGTATAGGTTTGAGAAGCATTTCAAAAAACACCCAGGTATGCTGATTTCTACTCAAAATATAGTTTTAGAGCAACTGCAATAGAATCTCTAAGCTAACACCAGTTGCTGCCAAGCTAATTCTGACTCATGGTGACTGGTGACTCATGTGTGTCAGAAAAGAACTGTTCCACAGAATTTTCAATGGCTGATTTTTTTTTCACCAGGCCTTTCTTCTGAGGTACCTATGGATAGGCTTGAACATCCAACCTTTCAGTTAGCAACCAAGAATATATATCATTTGTACCACTCAGAAACACCTCTGAGCCGACAGGAAATACAAAACTGAGGTAGAAGGGTTCAATCATCATTAACACAAGTAATGAAACAAAGAAAGAAACAAGTGTGCAAGCTCAGCCAAGTAAGCTCAACTGGGATGTGCCCCACCAAACATGGAGGCGTTTTCTTTTTTATGGAGAAAAAAAGCATACTGTTAGGAACAGTGAGTAAAGCAAATGCCATTCTTTGTTCCAGAATTGAAAAGAATCCACAGTAAATATCCATTATGTTTTACCATGGTCAGGGAATGGTTATTCCATAGTGACTTTTCAGAGAACAAAATTAAAATCAATATAATATTGATTTTAGTCTTTGTGAAATATATCACCAAATATTTTGCTATGATTTTTAAATGTCAAAGGTATTAAAACAATGGAGCAAAGCCTCCTTCATGGGTGAGACAAGGGTAGCTCAAGGTTACAAATGCACCTTCTTCTGATCCATCTTTGGATCTGATCCACTGTAACAGAAAAGGCTTTCTAAAGTACAACTTGGATTCAGTTACTCTTCTGCTTCACAGCCCTTAAGGAATCTACATTCCCCCCGACACATCAAGGCCTCCATGCCTAGGTCTCCAGCCTTCCCTCTTTCTGCAGTCCTCCTACTGCCCTCTGCTCCAGCCACATCCAGCTCCTCAAACAGGCCTGCTATGACTTCTCAATCTTGGTCTATGTTGCATCCTCTACATGGATGGCCTTCTTCCATGTTGCAGTGCAATGGATTTATCTTATGTGGCCTTTCTGGCCCTGGGTTTGTAATTCTCTGAAAATGACTGGTCAGGCTGCAGTCTTGCAAGTGTTTGGTCTATTTACTATCTGCATAAGAAGCTTGGGGGGATTGCTTAGTTTATTAGCTGCATAAGCAGCTTGCAATCCACCCAATAGGATTGAGCCGCTTGTGACCCACCTAGGGAATTGGTCAATTTACTGTGCTACTGGGAAGTCCACATCTTGAGATCAATAGGGAGCTTTCCTATATTGGCCCCCAATATTACAGAGGTTTTGGGGGGACCTCCTGATCAAAAAAAGCCTACAGTGGAGTGCATCCATTGGACCTGGGCCCCTGTGCTGAGAACCTCCTAGATTGAAATAATAAAGCTGTGTTATGGGTCAAGGTCTGTAATACTTAGCTGATAGCACTGACGACAGAAAGAGCAGAAACTATAGGCCCAGAAGGGGCCCAGTGGCAGAGAACTAGAAGCCAAGAAGGGCTGACAAGAAGCTGTTCCTAAGGGCCAAGAGGAGATTGGTTTTGAGCAGAAGTTGCTGGGAAAGGCCTGGGAGACTTTGGGCAGAGGTCTTCCTGAAGAAGGGCAAAGCTGGCAACACTAGGCCCAGTGAGGCCCAGCAGGAAGGCAGCATGGTGGGAGCTATCAGCAAAAGGTCTAGAAGGGCTCAGTGGCAGAACCAGCAATGTGAGGCCCAGAAAGACTCAGCAGCAGAGCAGAGCAAAATTCAGCAGAGCCACACAGCCCGTGGACAGTGTAGTGGGAGCCAAAGACAACAGTGATGTGAACATAGTATCTACGTGAGTTACGGCATGCCTGCCCAAAGACTTAAGAATGGACATGGGTAAATTAGGGAAAACACAAGCAATTCCCCTTTAAGACTTAAGTAGATGCCTCTCCTACAAAGTGGGTTACAAGCAGGGGGTTGGGACCAACTCACCATAAGTAATCTGTTCCTATTGTTTACCATTTGCTTTCTATAAATAACTTTCACTTTGCCAATACTGTGTGCATGTCTCATGTTTACGGCTCAATCATACTGGATGAACGTAACATCCATGGAGTGAGTAAGCTCTCATTCCTAGTATCTTATTGCTGCCTGGTATTTTTGAAGCACACTCTGTGTGTATTGCAGACAGACATATGTACCCCAGTTCTCCAAGTTGTAGAGAAATTCTCCACATCTGCCAAGAGTCAGTTCAAAAGTAACTTCAGTTATGAAGCTTTTCCTGACCCATCTATACAGAACAGATCATCCTCTCCCTTGCCCATCCACTCCCACTAGCAGGGCCACTTATATTTGATCACATTTATATGTTTACTCATCTAACCTTCCCACCTAGACTCTGATGGTGTAGTGCCTACGGCATATGACTGCTAACCAGAAGGCTGAGGGTTCAAACCCACCAGCCACTCCTTGGAAGGAAGGTTAGGCATCTACTTCCATAGTGATACTGCCTTGGAAACCCAAGGAGAGGTTGCTATGAGTCAGATCTAACTTGATGGCAGTTGAGTTCGTTTTTTTGTTTATTTGTTTATAAAAATTCATTGCTATAAAGTTTTTAATAATAATTTATTTTATAAATTTAATTGAATGAATGAATGAATTTAACTCCCCATGAATTTCTCTCCCTTCCTCCCACCTCTCTCTCTCACATTCTTGCTGTCTTCTTGTCCTCTCACTCTCTTTCTCTCCGATCTCTACACACATACACACCAAAAAGGAGGAAAGAGAGTAAGAAATGGTCAGAATGGAACACCTCTTCTGATGACAGTTCTGTGATCAGTTAGGTTATCTGTGTTTACTTACCATTGATGTTCTGTGCCCAGAGGCTGAAGTTAGAGGTGAGGGGCTGTTTTCCTGATACAGAAAGTCCAGGCAGGAGCTATTCTGAGAAATGGAGCTTCCCGAGTCACTGTGCAGCTGTCCCTTTTCAGACAGCAATCTGGACAGAAGGCTGGTTTTGCGACTGCCTGGGCGAGATCTGTCCATCCAGACCCCACTCTCTCTCACATTGTTGTCATTGTCTCTGCAATGACTGTGTAGATCTGTGAGGGGCTCACCTGGGGGCTTCCGGTCCTGGGGGTGCTCCCAGCTTTCTAGTGCATAGGATGGACAATGCCCATGGGTTGTTGTTCTCCCCAGCCAGGAGCGGGAGATTGGATTCTGTAGACCAAAGGAGGAGGGATGGCCTGGTTGCTGTCCATGGTCCTTCATTCCACCACTGCCATTCCAGGGGGATGGACTGGGAAGGAGGAGCTGTCCACAGTGCTGGGCCTTCTGAGCCCAGTCTTTTTTGTCACAGCAAGAGACAACCTCAAGTTGCTTAGCCTGTGGAATATGCCAGATGGTTTCAGATTTGGGCATATTAACTTGGATGATTTTTTCTTGATTGTTGTCTTGAAGCAAAGAAGTTCTATCAGGCAAAGAAGAGCAAATCATACACTGCTGGGCCACTGAATATTTCTTTAAATGGAATGGAGAGGCCCTTTCATCCTCAGTGACCTCACTGCTGGATTTCTCATAAAGTGACCTCATGATTTTCCTGATACCAAGATGAACTATTTCTAGTGCATTAAGGAACAAGGAGATGGCTGCAATACTGTGCATAAAGATCATGAAAATGGTCTTCTCTGTGGGCCTGGATACAAAGCAATCCACTGCATTGGGGCAGGGAGGTTGAGTGCACTTGAAAAGGGCTTGCATTTGAAACCCATAGAGAATATATTGACCAATCATGAACCCTACTTCCAGCACAGCCCTGACCAAGATGTGTAAGACATAAGTATGCAGCAGGCAGCCTTTTAGAGGGGCTTTATGAATACTCTTTTGCTCCTCTAGCATTCTCAGTTCCCTATCTATTCTTTGCTGCTCTTTCAAGTCAAGCTCTGGATTCTCCATCTGGGCTCTAAGATGTGACCTTTTTCTCTTTCTTTCTTTCTCAAAGACCTTGAGTCTATAAAGTGCATGGCCCATATACACTAGAGAGGGAGCAGATACAAAGATGATTTGTAAAACCCAAAACCTGATCAAAGAGATAGGGAAAGCATCATCATAACAGATATTGTTGCATCCTGGCTGCTGAGTGTTGCAGGCAAATGCTGACTGTTCATCACCCCAGACATCCTCGGCAGCCACACCAAGTACCAGCATTCGGAAAATGAAGAGAATAGTCAGCCAGACTTTCCCCACTATGGTTGAGTGGAAGTGAACTTCTTCTAGGATGCCACCCAATAAGTTCCAGTCCCCCATGGTTAGAGGCTAATGGCTGAAACACACATAAAACACTAGTTAATAGCACCCATGGATATAATGTATAAAGATACAGTCACATAAATGTAACAGGTTATTTTTCACATCACAAGTTGTGAAGCATTTTCTAGCCCTAATATTTATGGTCTACACTTGATGAAACAGGATATTTCCAAGGAATATCAATTTAAAAAAAAAAAAAAAAGCAAACACTAAAGACTCTCCAATAACTTGACCCTATTTCCTTCTTATCTTCTTCTGCTCTTCTACACAAAACTGCCATGCCTGTAATTTAGGATCTTTATTAGCCCTCATTTTGGCACGATGCATTCGCACATCAAAATTTTGCTCATTTTTCTACTCATCTGAGATGTTTCATTTTACTAAACAGCATACATCCTTTATGATATTTAACAAGTCTCAATTTTTCCAGGAAGTTTCCCCTAACCATCCCAAGTCACAGTGATCTTTCCCTTTCCTGAACTCTCGTAAGGCTATTGCTTATACTACTCATTTGATAGGGAGCTCTGGTAGTGTACGACCCCCCACAACCTTGGGTTTCCAAGGCAGTATCTCTATGGAAGTAGATTGCCCCATCTTCCTTCCGAGGAGTGGCTGGTGGGTTTGAACTGCCAGCCTTCTGATTAGCAGTCAAGTGCCTTAGGCACTACACTACCTATAGCTATTCTCATAAGGCTACTGCTTATACTGCTCATTTGATAGGGAGCTCTGGTAGTGTAGTGCCTAAGGCACTTGACTGCTAACCAGAAGGCTGGCGGTTCAAACCCACCAGCCACTCCTCGGAAGGAAGATGGGGCAATCTACTTCCATAGAGATACTGCCTCAGAAACCCAAGGGGGGGGGGTCGCTATGAGTCGGGTCTGACTCGACGGCACATAACAACAACAACTCATTTGACGCAGTGCTACACTTAGTTTTGTGACGGTTGCATCTTATGTTCTCCTCCTGGAAAAGTACACTCCTTGCAGGTAAAGAATCTTTCTATAGAATCTTAGTCTTTGCACACAGAAGGAATCAATAAATAATAGTGGATTGAATTGTCTTTACATTTTAAAACACTGTTCTTTGACACTTTCACTGGAATAATCAACATGAAAAATAAAGTAGATTCTCACTATATATTGTCTATGCTTCCCACTGCAAGACTGTAACTCAAGGAAACATAAATCATCCAAATAAATCCTCAGGAAATGGCTCAGAGAAGAATAGCAGTAAAAATTAGGTAGACACAGAAATGCAACCAGCAATAAAGCAGATGATTGGGTTCATAAAGACACATCAGGAACAGTATGTTTACACACATGGAAGTTTCTTAACTTAGGAGAAAATGTGAATATCCACTGCTTCTTTAGCAAGCTTAGGTTCTGGGAAAGAATCAAAGCATAACTGACATGAACTGGTTGTTTGGTTTTCCCTGGGTATGTGTGTGTTGCAGGGGGGAGAAAGTGTTTTCAAGGTTCTATGACATTAAAATACTTGTTAGGTTCAAAACTCCTAAAATAGACAGAGATATGGAAGATATGGAGGAAAACCAGAAAGGTGTTATTCAGTTAAAACAAATAATGAATCAATTTTCCCCGTCCATAATTCATTCATTAATATTTACTAAAATCTTACTATGACCTATGCACTTTCTACAACTGTATGTGAATTTTAATGATCTCAAAACAAAAAAGTTTAATTTTAAAAAATGGAAAGACAGTATCAAGACTTTTAGTAATTTGCTCCAAATGTACAGATATGACAATAAGAATGGGTTAAATTATTCTATCAAAAGGCAAATAATCTATTTAATAACTAGTCTACTTGGTTTGTTTTCTTCTTCCTATGTTTCTTTTTTTTAAGTACATGTATATTTACTTATTTTTCCTCATTTTCCAATCATGATTTCTGGCCTTGATGTGCTTTAAAAACCTTCTTCTATTTCAATATTATATTCTTCTACATAGATATTTCAGTTTATTGAGTCAATCTTTTAGATATATTTCAATATTATATTCTTCTACATAGATATTTCAGTTTATTGAGTCAATCTTTTAGATATATTGCACAATGCACTAATACTGTTCCCAAAATTTTACAATTACAAAGTAATTTTAGAAGTTTCATAAGTAAATGTAATTAATGTCACTGAATTGCACACTTAAAAATGGCTAAAATGGCAAATATCTATATTTTACCACAATGAATTTTTAAAAATTATTGTAAGACAAGGATTCACAGAAAAAGTCAACAAATTATAGAATTGGAAAATATTTGTAACACAGAGGACAAGTGATTAATATATTTAACACACCAAGAGCTTTTCTAAGTTGCCAAGGGAAAAAAAAAGAAAATGAGCAAAGAATAATAGTCAATTCACAAAAGAATAAATCCAAATAAGAAAAATAGAAGACCATCAAACTCATTAGTAGTTAGAAAAATACAAATTAAATTAATAATATTAAATTTTGGAAAAACATTTAATGTGGTAATACTGCTTGTTCTAGGATAATTTGTATCCTCTCAAAATACATGTTCAAGTCCTAACCCCCAATACCTGTGAATGTGACTCTATTTGGAAATATAGCATCTTTGCAATTGTAATTAAACATGAGGTCTCACTCACTCACTGCTGTGAGTTCCGTCCAACTCATAGCGACCCTTCCTTGGATTTCTGAGGCAGTATCTCTACGAAAGTATATTGTCCAGTCTTCCTTCCGAGGAGTGACTGGTGGGTTTGAACCGCCAGCCTTCTGGTTAGTAGTCAAATGCCTTAGGCACTATGCATCTCCTGGAGTAAACCAGTAAAAAACAAACCAGTTGCTTTCAACTCACTTGTGACTCAGGGCAACTCCGTGTGTTGAGGCTCTAATCAAATATAACTGATGTCTTTTAATTTAAAAAATGTAGAGATACACTGACACAGAGACACAGAGGGAAGGTGGCCATGTGACGATGGAGCCAGAGATTAGAGTTATGTTGCCACAAGTTAAGGAACACCTGGGCTACCAGAACCCGAGACAAGGAAGGATCTTCCCTTTTGGCACAGAGAGCATGGCCCTGCCGAGAATCCTAGATTCTAGCCTCCAGAACTGTGAGAAACTGTTTTTTCTTTCTTGTGGAAATTGCTATTTTGTTTTTTGAGGTGTTACCAGTTCAACAATTTTTACATGTACAACTCAGAGACACTGATTATGTTCATCACATTGTGCAAAAAAATATCACTACTACCCTTTTCAAAATTATTCCATCACCACTAACAGAAACCCAGTGCCTCTTGAGCAATGACTTTCCTTCCCCTCCTGTTCACACCCCTGGTAACCACTAATAAACTTTGGTCTATATATTTGCCATTTTCTTATAAGGGGGATGATGTAATATTTGTCCTAATTTCTGTTGTTTTAAGACACCTAGTTTGTGGTACTTTATTACACTTTATTATAGCAATCCTAGAAACCAAAGATATTACAGAAGAAGATACCCATTGCCATCAATGCTTTTCTTTTTTTCAATTTTCTAAGTGCAATACTTATTTATTATATAGTGATTTGGGTGAAAATTTACATAGCAAATTCACTTTCCAAACAACAGTTCACATACACTTTGTCTCATGACATTGACTACAATTTATCACAATGCAACAGCTCCCCTCCCACTTCTTCCCGATAGTTACCTCTTCCCTGTGGCCAGCCATCCATGGACTCCTGCCCCCTGAGCTGTCTCCCTGTGCATAAACAGCACTTCTTTCTCACATGATTGTTCTCTCCAAGGAGTGCATCTACCGCAGATAAATGGTCATCTCATATGCCTGTCTTTTGTTTGGCTGGAAGCCGCAAGTATGGGTTCAATTCCAGACCTGAAGGGCAGCTAGGGGCCATAGTCTCAGGGGTTCCACCAGGCTCTATCAGACCAGCAAACCTGGTCCCCCCCCTTTTTTTTTTCCAAATGATTTTGAGTTTTGTTCCACAATATTCTCCCTCTCTATCTAGGATCTCCTACATAGATCCCCCTCCGAGTGGTTGACAATGGTAGCCAGGCACCATCTAGTTCTTCTGGTCTCATAGTTATATAGGCTGAGGATTGCACGGTATACCAGTCGCTAGGACTAATTGTTTTGCTGAATTTTTGGTTTTCTTCATTCTTCTTTGCTCTGGACAAGGAGAGATGCATCATTGCATCTAAATGGCTGCTTGCAAGCTTTTAAGATCCCAGCTGCTACTCGCCAAAGTAGGAGGTGGAACAAAGTTTTGTGTAGTATGTTACACCAATTGAGCTTGATGTCCCCTGTAACTATGGTCCCAAGCCCACAGGTTCAACTAACTACTCGGTCCCTCTGGATAGCTGGCTGTGACCAAGAAGTGATTACAACCTTGTCCCTTGTCAGCTCTACTATACACCTGGGAATTCAGATCATACAAATACACTTATAGGACCATTGTTTGCCAAACCTATACATGGTCTTGGGTACACTCCACACTTCATAGACATACCTAATAGTTCAGGCCGTCTACCCATCTATCCACCTGTATAAGCATGTTTGCTTTCACTGACAACACAGTACTATATGTGCAAAAGCGTTCTTCTTTGTTGTCTGTACCTCCCATGTACCTCTCTATGTCTTCCTCTTCTTCAATGCCACCATCATTAATGCTTTTCAATGCCTGATTTTTCAGAAGTAGATTACCAGGCCTTTCCACAAGGCATCTCTAGGTGGATCAGCAGCTAAGTACCTATTTGCAGGGAGCTCTGGTAGCGGAGTGCCTAAGGAACTTGACTGCTAACCAGAAGGCTGGCAGTTCAAACCCACCAGCCACTCCTTGGAAGGAAGGTTGGGCAATCTACTTCCATAGTGATACTGCCGTGGAAACCCAAAGAGGGGTCACTATGAGTCGGGTCTGACTTGACAGCACATAACAACAACAACATAGACATATATACATGATATAGATATAGATGTATATATAGAGAAAAGTAAACTATTAAGAGTTGTTTTGGAA